TACCCTATATGTACCCTGAAGGGACCCTAGAACCCCCCTAAAAGTCCATATTAGGGGCACATACGTCTACCTTTGGACATGGGAGGATCTGGGAGCTGCAGGAAAATCCTGAACCCCAGATCCCAACTCCGAGTTTCATGTGGGTAGTTTTCTAAATTCGGGTCCCTGTTGGGGTCCTTTTTATAAGGGTGCCGTACTATATTGGGGACCTAAAAAGGGACCCTAATTTAGAGAACTACCCATGTGCCAGGAGTCAGGCGGAGAGCCTTCTTCGGATGGGCCCGCAGTGGATACCTCGGAGCCTTCGGCGCATAAGGGATCCCCGGGGTTTAGGGTTCAGGGCTTGAGGCTTTGAGTTCAGGGTTTACGATTAGCGGCATGAGCAGGGCATGTTCATCTTCAGGCTTCGGACTATCTTTGCGATAGCGTTGCCTCAGGTACAGCCTTGCTCAGGACAGCCCGCTTGTAGGGTTTGGTATTTAGGGATGTTCAGGGTTTGCGCGCTCTGCAGCCGTACTCACGAAAAGGGGTTCAGTGAATTGAAGAAGGATGCTGCAATTGAAGCAAGTGCAGCAGTTTTAGTTCCTCAGTTTCTCAGCTGGAGATAAGTAGACTTGAACCCTCGCGGTCTTTAGAAGTAGGGTCCATTCATAGGCAAGTTTAAGGGACTTCTCTCGGAGGAGTGTGGGTTTAGGGTTTATAGAGCTTAGGGCTAAGGGTTTAGGGGCACAAGCAGAACTCATCTGGCTTCAAGGATGGCCATGGTAACAGGCATCGGTGTAACAGTTGAAAGTACTTTAGACTGTGTCCGAACAAGCTTTTTGGGGATGTCATGTGTGTCGGCGCGGAGGAACTGGATCGCTACCCCACTGTCACACGCTCCTGCTTTAGAAGGTGTTATGGTTGAGCTCTCGTTGTTGAAGCTGAGCCGCACACCTGGTGTTCAAACGCTTTCGTGGATACACTTATCAGCCAAAAGTGCTGAACCTTGAATCAAAACCTAAACCCCTAAACCCTAAACCCTAAACCCCATACCCTAAACCCCCCCCCATCGAGGCCTGAAGACCGTGAAACCTAAACCCAGGGACCCCGGGAGCTCCAACAAAAGCTACCAACCCCCCCCCCCCCCCAAGGGTTTAGGGGTTAGGGTTTAGGGTTTAGGGTTTAGGGTTTAGGGCTCTCATAAGATGCTGTAGAGCCTCCTAAACCAAGCGCTTGTGGTAAATCTAGGGCTCCACAAAGGCCCAAGGTCGGCACTCTTTGTCGCATACTTGGAGCTCTAGGGTACCCCTAAAGATCCCTAAACCCTAAACCCTAATCCGTACAGATCCCTAAACCCTCAAGATACCCCTACAGATCCCTAAACCCGGAAAAATCCATAAAGATCCCTAAACCCAAAAGAAATCAACCTGAAAGCCCCAAAGGTCCGGGCCTTTGGCTGGTGTCGCAGACGAAAGAGCTCTCAGGATACGGTTTAGGGTTTAGGGTTTAGGGGATAGCTCCCTGCTTCGTTGTTATCGGCCATCTAGCCATTGAGGGCTCCATTCGGGGATCTCTAAGGGGGTTTCCTTTTGGGGGGCGCCCCTTTAAGGGATCTATGAGGGGCTCCCTGAAGGGAATGGGGGGTTCCGTTTTGACAGCACGGAGAAGTCAAAGGCTGTTGCACGGGCTTAGGGATTGGGGCTTAGGGTGTTCCTGTCCGTGGACGGACTTTGGGGTTTAGGGCTTAGGGCTGCCATGGAGGTGCCCCCCAAAATGGAGGATCTTTCGCTACAATAATAGGGCCGGCGGCCACAGAAATGACCACAATGCAGTCTCGTTGCCGGTGTGGGCGCAGGATCGATTCCGAAACCCATGTAGGTTCGGGATTGACGGTTGAGGGTATGGTGTCAGCTTAGGGCCCATTCAGGACGCCGAGGGCACTACAGAGCCTACTTCCGACAACGACGAGGCCGGAAGTTCAATTCTGGGGCAGTTGGGATCGATTTTCGGTGCTTTGGAAGAAACCCTAAACCCTAAACCCCAAGAAATTAACCTCGGGCCCCTTCCGAACGGAGTATGCAAAGGTCGTGATTGAGAACCACACACAGCTGCAGACGTGTTTTCTCGGAGCCGGACGCAGCTGGTAACTTCGGGTTGAGGGTTTAGGTTTTAGGTTTCAGGGTTTAGGGTTTAGGGTTCAGGGTTTAGGGTTCAGGGTTCAGGGTTCAGGGTTTAGGGTTTAGGGTTCTTGCTTGCAAGCCTGCAGCAAAAAGGGTTTAGGGTTCGGGGCTCAGGGTCTAGGGTTTAGGGTACAATCAGGAGTTACTTGCGGTTCGCCACATGTGAAGCTTCAGAACTACTGTTGTAACTGGTCGTTAAGTATGCATACTTCTGCACCAGGCATGTTCGAGATTTGGTATAAACAGGCTGAAGTGTGTGTTTTGGTGTTTGTGCACCATGCGGTTTGACATCCAAGAGTAATCCTGAATCACGATCGCTGAACCAAACCGGGGACCCAAAATCAATCCGAGAGCATGCAGAAGCTGCAGAAGCTTTATGCTTTCGCGTGTGGAAGTAGCAAGTAGTAACCACCCAGATCTGGGTTTAGGGCTCGACGTGTCTTGATTATATGGTTCGAAGATCTAGTGAGTCTGCCAAGAAGGAACTAAACGTCAAGGTTGTCAACGGAACCCACTCAACTCTTTAAGCCCCACGCTCTTGATCCCTAAACTCCTAGAACCTCCCTAAACCTTCAGCCTGAAACCCTTGACGTGAAGCGTGGAGGCCGGAGTGTGGTTGCCAATGTTGTTCCTACAGCTTCCACGTTGAAAATCCAGGATAGTATAGCCTGACACCTCCAATATTAGTATCATAAGATTAACACCACTCTTTGATGATTAGGAGTGAGTACTATTGTTGGTAAGAAATAACAGGAACATATGGGTAGTTCTCACAATTATGGTCCCTTTTGGGGTACCTTATACAATAGGTGCCGTATTATACTAAGGACCCAAAAAGGGACCATAGTTTTGATAACCACCCATATGAGAGCCTGAACCAGGCATCTTTCTTTGTCCGATGCCGGCGGCGTCGGGATTCTGCGGAGGACCCGGTCCGGGCTTCTCGGGCCTTTTGGGATTTAGGGAAATGAGGATTTAGGGTGTAGCTTGAGTTTTCGGATCAAGGTTTTGAGGGTTTTGAGTTTAAAGGGGTTCGATTCAGGGTTCAGGGCTCTGCTTTGTCCCAGATGGTGCCTGAAGACTAAGTTCAAACAAGGTTTCAGAGTACTGGATGTTTTGGGGATACCCGGTCCTGATGCAAGGAAGGATATTTGAGGCTGTTGTATGGGGTAGAGATTTTGTGTTTTTGCTTTCAGACAGGACTGTTGCCTGAGATGATCTGGTGGTCTAAATCCCAAACCCCTGAACCCTAAACCCAGCCAATGTGACAGCCGGATCCCCGGGATCCTAGTTCCGCTGTTACATGCATCTTGTAATTTATTGTGCGCGTTGAGCATGTTCTGCAATGCCGAAGCCTATGCCTGTCTGCATGCTTGCTCGTTTTGACGACCTTTTGTGTCACCAGATCCTCGCGAGGCTCGAACTAGGTGGTGGGTGTGTGCGGGTTTAGATTGTTGCCTTGTGGAGGGTCTGCTGTCAGATGTGCTCATTCTATGGTTGTACATGTGTCTCTGGCGTTTTGACAAGCCCTGCCTGACAACGCAGAACTCAGTCCTCAGCTCTTGTTTCGACGTTGGACCAGTCTCGCTACAGACCTTGCCAGGCTTTGTCCTAGTGTGAGTGTCAAAACCCTGCCATGGGGCTTGTAGGGTTTAGGGAATAGTGCTGAGTGGACACTTGGGTGTCGATTTGTTAGGTCTGTTCCGAGGGCTGGAACAGTATCCCAAGCTTGTCGGGCAGACTGGACAGCGAAGTTTGGTTCTAGCCCTTCAATACGTGCGCGTTCAGTCTAACCAGTCAGGAAGGTCTTTGGAGGCTCCGGGCATCCGATCTTCTGTAGGGCTGAGGCTGAAATCAAGTGATCTCGCCTTGAAGATAAAGGGAAAGCTGGGGAGTTGAACCCTAAACCCCTAAACCGCTACACCCCTAAACCCCTAAACCCTACACCCCGTAAAGCCTTAACTTATCCTTGCGAGCAGGGTTTTTCACTCGACTCCTCAGAGAAGGCATAGAAGGCCCAGTTCTTGCTCAACCAGACTTACTTAGGGCTTAGGCTTTAGGGTTTAGGTTATGTTTAGGTTTTCGGGTTTTTGGCTTTGGCTTTAGGGTTTAAAGCCTAAACCCTAAAACCTAAACCCTAAAGCCTAAAAGCCTAAACCCTAACGCCCTAAAGCCCTAAAGCTTCAAACCCCAAGCCCTAAAGCCCTACCCAAAGGGTCCAAGTACCATGAAAGAAGGTACTTAGTAGGTATTTGGGCCCCGAAAGTATAGACTATACTAGTACTTGGACCCTTTGGGCTAGGGCGTTCTTGCCCAAGCCCCATGGCGCAAGCTCAAAGCAAGTTGGAGCAGGGCCAGGATGCAGGGGCGCATGCGTAAGGGTTCAGGGGTTTAGGGTTCAGGGGTTTAGGGTTTAGGGTTTAGGGTTTAGGGTTTAGGGTTTAGGGTTTAGGGTTAGGGTTTAGGCTTTAGGGTTTAGGGTTTAGGGTTTATGGGAGTGTCTTGGTGCAAGG